CACTGCAAACACGTCATTAGAGGCGCCACAAAAAAAAAAGTATTGTTGTCCCTTAACTTTCTCATATATATCACCAGAGGCGCTAATAGCAGTATTTAGAGAAACATAAATGCTTCTTTGTTTTTGAGTAAAGCACCATGGGGGATCTTTACTCCTTTTGTCTTGATGATGAAACCCAGAACTACAGCGTTAGAAAGGAGCCATCAAGTTGTTTTTAACCAATGTAAAATAGCTGACTGAGAAAGATTTCTTTCATGGGACTGTCATTTGCTATTTACTGCGTGTATTTCCATTATTAGAGACCATGGCTTACTCTGTCATTTGCTATTTAAGGTGTGTATTTCCATTATTAGAGACCATGGATTACTCTGTCATTTGCTATTTACTGCGTGTATTTCCATTGTTAAAGACCATGGATTACTCTGTCATTTGCTATTTAAGGTGTGTATTTCTATTGTTAAAGACCATGGATTACTCTGTCATTTGCTATTTAAGGTGTGTATTTCTATTGTTAAAGACCATGGATTACTCTGTCATTTGCTATTTAAGGTGTGTATTTCTATTGTTAAAGACCATGGATTACTCTGTCATTTGCTATTTAAGGTGTGTATTTCCATTATTACTATCCGCTTCGTTAGAAAAACATTTTCAAAACAAAAAACTTGTGCCCAAAATAAAATCTGTTAAAATATTTAACGCCGCGTGAGAACAATATAAAATATGATTAGTTGATACTTAAATCATGTGTTAATCACACCTGAAACTGTTTCTTAAACACACTTGAAGTTTTCTAAACACCACCCTGACTTGATTTGTTAAAACACCCTAATCACATTTGGAATTTTTATTAAACACTCTTATTACTGGACTTGCAATCAGAGGGTTGCGGGTTCGAAACGCCGTCACTTCAAATATTCTCGCTCATTCAGCCGTGGGGATGTTATAATATAATGGTCAATCCCACTATTTGTTGGTAAAAAAAGTAACCCAAGAGTTGGCGGTGGGTGTGGTTGTTTAGCTGCCTTCCCTCTAGTCTATCATAGACACGGTTAGCACAGATCGTCTTCGTGTTGGTTTGCACGAAATTCCAAACAAACCAAACCAAAGAACTGAGGGGTTGGACAGTGAAATGGAAAGATGTGTAAACATTCCAGTACGCATGCTCCACCCAGACTGACCATCTTAGTGTGGGAGACTTGTTTAATGTTTGTTTCATATACATATACAAAGACTGGAGAAAAGGCAATTAGTCAAAAGCACCCACCGCCAACTCTTGGGATACTCATCTCTGATGTGATAGTGGGACTTGGACATCATTCTTACAGTGTACTGGCAGCCCCACGGTAACGGCTCGTTAAGTAGGAATCCTTAGATTCATAGTCTTGGCAGGTTAACCAATAGGCCACGCCTGAGAGTTAAGGAACAATATTCGATCAATAGGCTTATCATTAAAAGAGTGTCGCTTTCATTTTTATCGTTCAGTCGGATTGAACATTTTTTTAGATTTAGACGAGGAGTTCGTTTTGAAGTGTCTCCAAATATTGGAGTAAAAAATAAACTAAAATAAAGTTTGAATCTGCAAGGAAATGCCCTTCCTCGAGAGTAATCTCCAATAGCAACGTTAAGGCGGAACCTCTGCTGAATTTCAATAGTTATTTCGGTCTCTAAGGCAATAAATCCATTAGTTAGAAACGGATCTCTGAGCCCTCAGAAAAAATGTCAGATGTAGAGAGATCTAATATATATATTTCTATGGCAGATTCTGTTTATTAGATAGACAGATAGCTAAATGAAAGAATAGAGAGATGCGTGAGTAAGCGAGCAGGCTGGAAGATTAGCAGATAGATGGATAATTTAAAAAATGTTTATTGTAACATTGTAATTTGATAATTAACTTGGTCTGATCTGAAATCCAGTGCTGTATTCAGTTATACAAGAAACACGGCTACCATTCACTGGCTTTAAACATTTACAGCCAATTGTTATACAATTGTGCAAAGTGGGTGTTTTTGTTCAGCACAAAGCTGCACAATGGGCTTTGTTCACCGTGGTTATCGAAACCCGAATTTTCGTGTTATAAGTCCTCAGACTAACTGCTGAGTCACGGGAAGGTTTGTAGCACATAGTTACACAATGGGTATCGAAACCCAATTTTTAGCGTTATAAGCACCTAGGTGCTTTGTTCTGTTGACTAATATTGTTATTGTGTTACCTAGGTGTTACGTTCTGTTAACTAATATTGTTACTATGTTACCTAGGTGCTTTGTTCTGTTAACTAATATTGTTACTATGTTACCTAGGTGCTTTGTTCTGTTAACTAATATTGTTACTATGTTACCTAGGTGTTATGTTCTGTTAACTAATACTGTTACTATGTTACCTAGGTGTTATATTCTGTTATCTAATATTGTTATTCTGTTATCTAATATTTTTATTATGTTACCTAGGTGCTTTGTTGTGTTAACTAATATTGTTACTATGTTACCTAGGTGCTTTGTTCTGTTAACTAATATTGTATACGTTTTCTGGCAGATTTCGATATAACGAAGTGTGAAAGGCAAGTTTTGAGTGACGGTTTTAGAAGTCATAAGTATATAACTCAAGGCGAGTGTCAATTAAGAAAAAAAAATAAAGGCAATCTGCTTTTATGACAAAAACAAAGAAAAAAGTTGGCATTGAAAGAATCGACTCTTTCCAGAAATATATTAAAGCTTTTGTCTAAAAAGTGTCGTCACTTCTCAGACGAAAAAGATATTTTCTTTCAGAAAAGCGCTCACTATTTCCGCTAAAACGTGATTTGGAGACCGAATATGGAGTGGATAATGTCCGTTATAGTATACGAAAATAAATTATTCTATGTTTGTCTTTCTGTTATAGCATCTAAGACAAAATTCTAATAAAATCCAACTTCGTGTTTTAGATGTTCAACTGAGGTTTCTTTAACTTAATCTTTTGTATTAAAAAAAACGTTAATCATAATTAAATATGTGGATTTTTTTTACCATATCCACCAATAAGAAACGTTAATGATAATTAAATATGTGGTTTTGTTACAATATCCACCAATAAGAAACGTTAATGATAATTAAATATGTGGTTTTGTTACAATATCCACCAATAAGAAACTTAATGATAATTAAATATGTGATTTGGTTACAATATCCATCAATAAGAAACGTTAATGATAATTAAATATGTGGTTTGGTTACAATATCCACCAATAAGAAACGTTAATGATAATTAAATATGTGATTTGGTTACAATATCCACCAATAAGAAACGTTAATGATAATTAGATATGTGATTTGGTTACAATATCCACCAATAAAAAACGTTAATGATAATTGAATATGTGGTTTGGTTACAATATCCACCAATAAGAAACTTTAATGATAATTAAATATGTGATTTGGTTACAATATCCACCAATAAGAAACGTTAATGATAATTAGATATGTGATTTGTATAATTCTATTGATTTTTTATTCCGTTATCAATGTGGTGTAAACATCTGATAACACCTCAGGTTTGTTATGTGATATTTTAACATATTTACCTTAGCCTGCTCATCACATATTTATTTATTTTTTCTCAGATCGTTTCAAACATATCTTTTTTACAGTTATGTTAAATGATATCGTCAAAAATTTTTTTCACAGAGCTAGATGGTTGAATACTTTTATTCACAAATTCACATCAGTTGGAAATACATTAATCTTACACAAATTACTTTGTTAAAAAGTGTAAAAGAGTCTTCATCATGGCGGAGAGTTATATACAACAGTAGACAAAGTGACTTTATTTTGTTTAAAGATAACACTTTATAGATTTTGTTTTGCTGATGATTTACGAGAAACACCTTAAAATTAATTTCATATTTAGGCTTAGCGAGTTGCCGAGCTGTGAACCTTAGGGTTCATGGTTCGGCCCCCGCTCCAAACTTCCGTATCATAGATGCATTAGAATAGCCCAAAAGTTGGCAGTGGGTGCTATTACTGTCTCAAATTTAGGAACGGCTAGCGCCGATAGCGAAGATATCAGAAACAATCAAGCGACATTACGGAAAAAGACATAAACTCATATTTACAAATTATTCATGCACGCATCAAATCATCAGTGACGCCATGACTTTGTTGGTTACAATGTATCTTATAACACATCAGTCAAGCACAAACAAAAACACCATCAACATTATAATTTATCCCACTAATATACTGGGTAACCTACACAGTATTTTATGTAGAAAATGAACGATATTAGCTTCCAGATATCAGAACAAGTGAGTTATATTCATATCACGTTAAGTGTATTTAATCTTACAAAATGTTAGGTCTATTTAAGTACGTCTATAGAGATTTCATAAAAGACCTGATCTGTGATAATACAAATGTTTCTGTATATAAGACACAAATATTCAAAAGTGGCATCACGAGAGTCTATGTGTTTTCTTCATCTTCACCCGATTTAAAATATCAGTGTGTTTGAGGTTACACTAACTTCTCAAATATGGTATAGCGACACGAGACATATTCTTTCTGTCACCCCAAGAAAACAGTAGCTAGATAGTTTGGACATCTGTGGGTTCCTGATGAGCAGCACGAGACGGTCTTCTTAGCACCCCAAGAGAACAGTGGTTAGATAGTTTGGATACCTGTACGTTCCTGATGAGCAGCACGAGACGGTCTTCTTATCACCCCACGAGAACAGTAGTTAGATAGTTTGGACATCTGTGGATTCCTGATGAGCAGTACGAGACGGTCTTCTTAGCACCCCAAGAGAACAGTAGTTAGAGAATTTGGTTAACTGTGGGTTCCTGATGAGCAGCACGAGACGATCTTCTTAACACCCCAAGAGAACAGTAGTTAGACAGTTTGGATAACTGTGGGTTCCTGATGAGCAGCACGAGACGGTCTTCTTAGCACCCCACGAGAACAGTGGTTAGAATAGAAGACCGTCTCGTGCTGCTCATCAGGAACGTACAGTTATCCAAACTGCACCCCACGAGAACAGTGGTTAGATAGTTTGGATAACTGTACGTTCCTGATGTGCAGCACGCGGGGTTGAGCGACAAGAAGCGAAACGACTGATGACTGGGTGTCTTCTGCAGCACATCACCTCTTTCATCGAATTTCTAAAGTTTTCTGAGAGGAACGCGTAGAGAATAGGATTTATACCGGAATTAAAGTATAGTAACAGGGTTGTGCCCATAGTGAAGAAGACAGAACTTTTACTGGTGCCGTCAAAATGAGGAGACCAATACTGCCAAAGCTTACGAACGTGGAAAGGTAAGTTACAAAAAGCAAAACACAAGACAACGGCCAAAAGAAGACGTAACACTTTCCTTCTAGCTCTTATTATTGTCTTTGGAGCTTGTGTAAGACAGTGTTGTTGAAACGAGACGCCATGGTTGTTCCGTCTTGTTGACGACTGATTCATCCGAGTCCCGCTCGTGCTGGGTTCTTGGATGTTCCTGGTCATGTTACAATAACAACAGTGCTCCCTGACGGCGAGCTCAGATTCGTCCATTACAGATAAACGGATTTCGTGGCACACACAGATCCCGCCATTTTTTCTTACCACAAAATGGGCGCCGTGGACATGGCTAAGGCTCCCTGTATGGCCGCCATAACACAAATGAAGGTTAGAATGAGATTCTCTGAGAGAGAAGCTCTTCTTACTTAAAGCCTGACGCACGTGCCTGAGCTCCACCTCTCCACACTCCATGGAGTCTACACTACTTTTCCACAAATGAATAGCAATTTTAGAGTACAGTACGACGATGACGACCAACGGGATTACTAACAGAAACACAAAATTAGCGATGTCGTAAATTTCAGAATCGTAAAATCGGCGCTGCATGAAACATTCCACCGATGAACCGGAAACAGAGGGCAGCTCGGCAGTTCCGTACATTATGAGCCGAGGAGAACAATAGAGGGCGCTAACCAACCAAACTATCGTTATTACAGCACGCAAACGACCCAACGTAACAGCCTGTTTACTCCATAGCGGGTAGATAATAGCGACATATCTTTCGACACAGATAACCATCAAGATAGCTATTGACGTGTTATAACTCAAACTTTGGATGAAGTGATACATCTTACACAGGAAGTTACCGAAGGGCCAGCTGTCCATCAGATACAGGGAAAGGTTCTGGAAAACACAGAATACGCCAACGCAGAAGTCAGCCACAGCCAGGTTCGTTAAAAAGAAGTTTGTTACAGTGCGTAGACGTCGTTGGAGAAACACGACAACCATAACAAGCAGATTTCCTGAAAAAAAAAACACAACTGAAGGATTAAAAATAAACACTTACTTTGGATTTGTTTGTTTGTAGCTAAGCACAAAGCTACACAAAGAGCTACCTGCGTTCTGCTCACCACGGGTATCGAATTCTGGTTTCTAGCCGTGTAAGTCCGCAGACATACCGCTATGCCACTGGGGGGGGGGGGAGAAAATATATTGTTACACATGATGAAAATTTCTCAACCAAGTTTTCAAAGGATCCGGGGGGGGGGATCGCGGGATCAAAACCCGTCACAAACCATGCTCTCCTTTCTGCCATGTGGACGCCATAATGTGAAGGTAAATCCCACTTTTTGTTAGTAGTTAGTAAAAGAGTAACCCAAAAGTTGGCAGTGGGTGGTGTTAACTAGCTGCCCTTCCCACTAATTTTTCATTTCAAAATTAGAAATAGCTATCACAGATAACTCTAAAGTAGCTTTGCGCGAAATTAAACAAATCAACAACTTAAACGAACTGTTTTGCTTTATACATTATTCAGACACATAGCATGCCCGTACTGTGCATTTAAAGGGTAAAAAATGTTAGTATTAATTTTAAACTGAGCATTGATAAATATTTGAGAAATTATATATGGTTATTGTGAATAACTCCAACTGGCCATTGAAGGAACAGTTTAATCGACTGCGCGTACGTAGGTTGGACCGACGATGATGAGAACACTATATAACCAGTTGTAGTGAAAGTATTTAAAGCATGCGCGATGCTTTAATTGGAATTGATATATCCGCAGTAATAAATAGTAGGAAACAGAGGCGAATCGAGGAGGTTAAGGGGGTACGAACCCCATTTTTGTTACCAAAGCATTTCATTAGAATTATTACAAATAAGATACAATATAAATTATAAGCAACCCATAAAATTTTATCTCATTCGGTTTAATCATATCATATTCAATATTAAATTTCATTTATTTTGTCACATTTAAATTAAAACGATGAGAATGTCATTTTATTAACATATTAGTATTTTTATACTGAAACTATAAGCAGTGAAGTAACATGTAATTAGCTCCTTTCTATTGAAGGTGAAAACAGAACAACAGAAAACGAACGTGTAAGTGACAATTAACAGAAACATTGTTACCTACCAAATATAGAACAACAGAAGACGAACGTGTAAGTGACAATTAACAGAAACATTGTTACCTACCAAATATAAAACAACAGAAGACGAACGTGTAAGTGACAATTAACAGAAACATTGTTACCTACCAAATATACAACAACAGAAGACGAACGTGTAAGTGACAATTAACAGAAACATTGTTACCTACCAAATATACAACAACAGAAGACGAACGTGTAAGCAACAATTAAAACAGTTTTTTCAGTCCCGCTGAAGAGAGACTGAGATCCCATTGTTGTGTTGTACGAAATTTGGCTACTGTTGGGGTACAGGAACGATTTTTCATCTACGTCTACAGCAATATAATCCTGCATCGCTTCGAGTCCGCTTAGAGACATCTAGTGAGATTAAAAGAAATATATCTGTAACGTCATGATTCTTCTCGATCGGAATGATATATATATAAAAGTAACAATTACTTAAAGTAATATTTAAGCCTTTAAATGTTGCTTTTACTATTAAATCGTAGATGTAATAAACCTAATTATTGATCCCAACAATATATTCAATAGCTTATAAACAACTTTATTACTTAATATTTGAACAGAGAGACACATAACGCCTATAATATGTACTCCAGGTATGTTTGGAAGATATTCTTATCCAAACCCTTTTTTGTTTTCCATTTCCAAATTTCCGTAATATTAGCTGCACCTAATTTATCAGTGTTTAAGGAACCATTTTTTTTCTGTTTTAGTAAACATCTTTATAAATTTGTTTCCATGTATGTAATAAAGCTTTAAGGTGAAAAAAAAGAGCAAGACTTTTTATCATTATTACGTAGAGTTGGTGAACAAATATTGTGAAAACTGAAGAGTACCGTTATAGATACGACGTCTTTATTTATAATATTCATCTTAAATCGTTGACATTTTTTTTTGCAGGAATTTAAAAACGTTATTTTGTTGTTTTTTTATATACGAGTGTGCGTGTGATTGGAGGTTAGGAATTCTAGTAACACAGACATTTGTGATTTCGTAGCCCCTGTAAAGCGAGATTTTCCTTTAAACACTTCGGTACAAAGGAGATCTTAACATCCAGGGTGTAACCAACACCCTGGGTATCAAAAAGAATCTAATCCAAAGACTTGATGATGGTCACTGAATATTTGAAAGGTGGACGGCTCGAAGGTAGATATTAAGGCTAACCAGAACCAACCAAATAATGTATTACATTAAATAGACAGACATGCGCAGAAAAATCACGAAAAATCCTTTTGAATAGCGTGTGACTCGATATTAACCTTATAAGAAAAAAATAATAATTCTCCATGAAAGAACAAAGACAGGGATTTGTTGTGTAGCTGAGATTTAAAATTAAGCCCGCAGAACGTTTATAATTACTTAACTGTTTGGTACGTTTCAGAAATATCGGGGCTGTTAATGCTAAAGTTATTGGGGCTCAGATATAGAGGATTAGAATCTTTTACCATTTATAAAAACAGCTGACTTTGTAAACATTTCACTAGGGAGGGATTAGTTTTGTTTTTATCATTACGAATTAATAGGTTGACTGGTTCTTTTAACATCATGATAGGGGAGAGGGGATTAGTTTTGTCCAAATTTATTAAGTTACTTATTCCTGTAGTTATGACAACCTTTATTTTATCACTACCGATGTTTTGATTTTAGTACCTTTCCTATTTCGTGACATATTTTTCGTAATCCTTATACAGGACTGTTACTACATTAGATGTACCTAGATTAACTGAGTAGAAACGTTACCGTGAGTGTTACCGTAAAGAGCTTACGTCAAGGTGGATAATGGTGAGGTTTTTTTGTTGTTTTTTTTTACAGTTGTTGACAAGCGGGCTTTAAATGTGCCCCTGCTAGCAGGAGAGGTCAAAAATCCTTCTTTGTCGTTCAATCTAAACTCATGGTAGCTTTATCTGTTTTCCACAACATATATACCTCTGGGCTCTTAAAGTATGAGAGACCTTAATTCACTAATATTAGAGACCTTAGTTCACTCTTCAGAGAAACCTTAATTCACTAATATTAGAGACCTTAGTTCACTCTTCAGAGAAACCTTAGTTCACTAATATTAGAGACCTTAGTTCACTCTTCAGAGAAACCTTAGTTCACTAATATGAGAGACCTTAGTTCACTCTTCAGAGAGAGACCTTAATTCACTAATATTAGAGACCTTAGTTCACTCTTCAGAGAGACCTTAATTCACTAATATTAGAGACCTTAGTTCGCTCTTCAGAG